AATCCTCTTGTGGATGGAAGGGGCCACATTGCTGACCTGACAAGCTCAGGGGAGGCCTGCATGGCGGTCTTGCAAACTCAGAGACCTAAAGTCACCACAAAGGATGATGCTCTGAAATGAAACTTTAACTCAAAATAACTATGGTGGGTAGGTATGTCCTAGGCCGGTATCTTCACTGACAAGGTCAACCTGTACCTTAACTGAGCCATCTGTCTTTTTGCATCTAGGATAACATACCCTTGCAATGTCTGGGTAACTGGCAACTTCCCTTTTTCTGGAGCCCCTGGGGCGCAACCAGATGTGGTGGGCGCCAGGACAGATGCCTCCAATTCCTTCATTATCATGTTAATTGCCCCTGTACCCACCTACGTATGGGTCTGTCATTTTACTTTTTATCCAGTCCCAGGGGATGGAGCCTACAACCCAAGCATGAGCCCTTGACTAGAATTGAACCCAGGTCCCTTCAGTCGCAGGCTAGCCACTGAGTCAAACCGGCTAAGGGCTTCCTTCTTTTGATTTTTGGATGAGGAGAGTCTGTGAAACCGAACATGTAATTATAGACCTTCTTCTGATATTCCCAACCCAACCTACACTCAGTGGGAATTGCTGCCCAGCGAAAAGTGCCTTTCCCCACTCCCATCTCCTCCAACCCTTCCTCTGGCATCATAAAGATCCATCTTCCCTGGTCAGACCTCTTAGGGGTGTTTTTTTTAAAAAAAATAATTTATTGATTTTTTACAGAGAGGAAGGGAGAGGGATAGAAAGTCAGAAACATCGATGAGAGAGAAACATTGATCACCTGCCTCCTGCACATCCCCCACTGGGGATGTGCCCACAACCGAGGTCCATGCCCTTGACCGAAATCAAACCTAGGACCCCTCAGTCCGTGGGCCGACGCTCTATCCACTGAACCAAACCAGTTTTGGCTCTTAGGGGTGTTTTTACTTCATCTTTTACAAATCCCTGTAAACTAACCATTTGCCCCCAATATTTAGCATATTATTAGCACCGCTTGCATTTATTAAGTCAATCATCAGAATATTTTTTACAAACAATTTCTAAATTTATAACACATCTGCTTCTACTTAACTTAGTGTGCCTCATTTTTTCTCAGAGAAGAAAAATGATGGGTTTGGACTTCAAGAGTTTTAATATTTTTTCCAGCTCTAACAATCTCTATCTGTCAATCATCTCCTAAATGGCTTTTTTTAAAAAAATAACTTTTTATTGATTTCAGAGAGGAAGGGAGAGGGTGAGATAGAAACATCAATGATGAGAGAGAAGCATTGATCAGCCAACTCCTGCACGCCCCCTACTGGTAATGGAGCCCCCTGCAACCAGTGTATGTGTCCTGACTGGGAATCAAACTGTGACCTCCTGGTTCATAGCTCGACCCTCAACCACTGAGCCACACAGGCTGGGCCTGAATGGCTTTTTGATTTCTATTTTTGATGCTTCTAATTTATCTCTATGAGTCAAAAATATTTGGTTACGAATGATTTGTTGTTAACACTTACTATAGATTGGGTCCATGTAATTTACCAGGAAGATTTCCAATGTGAGTCCATGTCTAATTAAAAGATGGTTTACTTCAGTGCTTCTTTGACTTTCTCATTTTCTTCCAAGCTACTTAGAAATGAGGATAGCTTTGACTTTCATGAGTGTGTTAGTGACACCTCTGGGGATTGCCAAGAATGGCGTGCAGCCAGGTTATCTCAATTACTGTGAGTTTATTTGTGCTGATACATACGAAAGTAAGAGAAGATTAGAAAGCAACCCAGTAACTACCTAGCCCAGCCTTGTTGTTCAGGAACCAGTAAAGCTTCCTCCAGTGACCTAGGAGCAGAAACGGTGACTCAACAAGAACTCTACTATAGACGGTCCAATCTCAGAAGGATGGTGAGAGGTGGGGGTGAGGAGGGGGGAGAGGGAGATAGGGAATTTGGGAGTGGGGTGGGAAGACATCAGCCAAAGATCTTATATGTATATATGCATAACCCATGGACACAGACAATAGGATGGTGAAGGCCTGGGCGTGTGTGTGTGTGTGTGTGTGTGTGTGTGTGTGTGTGTGTGTGTATGGGTGGAACAGGGAAGGGGAGAGGTGTTCAGGCTAGAAGGGGTCAATGGGGAAAAAATGGGGACACCTGTAATGCTTTCAATAAAGATAAATGAAAAACAAGCAAGAACTCCACTTGTTTTAGCTGCTGAAGCAGCTGCCATTACTGCTCGGAGTCGGCACCATTAGGGTTGCTAAGCTCCTCTCTCCATTCTGGCTGCTCTTGGCTGGTGGGCATCATGAAGGTACAGTCCATTTGCACCTTTTTCTTTTATTAGTGTAGATATTTTTAAATTTATTTCAGAGGAAAGAGTGGGAGAGAGAGATAGAAACAATGATCCAGGCCTGGTCCAGGAGCAGACTTCCAGTTCTCTGCAATCGATGGCAGAAGGTCTGCTCCTGCCCAGGCCTTACCTCACAGTGACCTGGGTGCCAGGATGTTCCTGGGACACAGGTGTTGGGTGCCTATGGATGCAAATTAACCACCATCTTGTTTGGGTTAATTTGCATAGTCACTCTGATTGGTTATGAGCGTAGCGTAGGTACTGTCAATTTACATGTTCGTCTATTATTAGGTAATATTCTTTTTTTAAAAAAATATATTTTTATTGATTTTTTTACAGAGAGGAAGAGAGAGGGATATATAGAGAGAAACATTGATGAGAGAGAGTCATTGATCAGCTGCCTCTTGCACACTCCCCATTGGGGATATGCCTGCAATCAAGGTACATGCCTTTGACCGGAATCGAACCTGGGACCCTTCAGTCCGCAGGCCGACACTCTATCCACTGAGCCAAACTGGTTTTGGCTATTATTAGGTAATATTCTTATAGCCCAGCTGGTGTGGCTCATTGGTTGAGTGTTGACCTATGAACCAGAAGGTCACGGTTCGATTCCTGGTCAGGGCACGTGGGGGTGATGCAAGAGGCAGCTGATCCATGATTAATGATTCTCTCTCATTATTGATGTTTCTCTCTTTCCCCCTCGCCTTTCCTCTCTTAAATCAGTAAACATTTATATTTTAAGTTTCTCTTAGAACTTAGTTCCATAGAAGTTCTTAAAAACAAAGAGAAAACAGGACGAACTGAAGTCACTTGAGAATAACCACAGCCCTGTGGGACATGAGCCCCTGCCAGCCCCAGGTGCTGTGAGGCACTGTAACTGCAGTAACAGAAGACACTTCTCAGAGGGCGAGATCAACCCAAAGTGGGATCGACCACAAAAACAATAAATTAAAAAAAAAAAATGCCACCCTTAAAAAAATACAGCTCTCTTCCTAGCTTGTTTGGCTCAGTGGATAGAGCATTGGCCTGTGGACTGAAGGGTCCCAAGTTCAATTAGGTCAAGGGCACATGCTCAGGTTGCGGGCTTGATTCCCGGTAGGGGTGTGTGCAAGAGGCAGCTGATCAATGATTCTCTCTCATCGATGTTTCTAACTCTCTATCCCTCTCTCTTCCTCTCTGTAAAAAAATCAATAAAAATCAATAAAAATATATTTTTAAAAAAGGCATCCAACCAATGACTCATCATTGATATCTCTCTCTCTCTCTCTCTCTCTCTCTTTCTCTCACTTTCTCTCTCCTTTCCTCTCTGAAATAAAGATAAATTTTTAAAAAATATGGCTTTCTCCACCATCTGTTAAATATCCAGTAGCAATATTTGGAAACAACAAGAAAGGAAGTTATGTGACTGCTAGCTGCCCATCAATAGTCATTCTACACCAAGCAAACCCAGTGGATAAGATGCATGAATTTCCCCATCACTCTTATGACATATTAGAAATAAGTCTCTCCGAAACCAGTTAGGCTCAGTGGATAGAGCGTTGGCCTGTGGAATGAAGGGTCCCAGGTTCGATTCTGGTCAAGGGCATGTACCTTGGTTGTGGGCATATCCCCAGTTGGGGATGTGCCGGAGGCAGCTGGTCGATGTTTCTATCTCTCTCCCTTCCTCTCTGTAAAAAAAAAAAATCAATAAAACATATATTAAAAAAAGAGAAATAAATCTCCGATAGAAATTTAATAGAAATAATAGGACATTAATAGAAATAAATCTCTAATAGAAAAACATAACTAAGATGGTACTGCTTTGCTCTAAAAACACATGTCCCGCCAGTCCTAAAGGACAATCCTTCACACAGTGTCAGGTGTTACACTGATGTCATTGATGCCAAAGTGACCCGACATGACATGACAATGACTGTCTCCATGTCTAGCAGGAGTTCTGCGTGGCTGTGTCTCCTCCCCCCCCCCCCCCCCCCCCAACTCCCCCTGGCATTTGCAATCAGAAACTGTGAATTGGTTTTCTCTTGCAGGCTCTCTAGGAAAACCTGGCCTGGATTCCCTCAGGATCCCACCAAGATGATTTCAAGAAAATGAAATCTACATCATCAAGCTTAGCATTTATAGAAAATGAAATCTACATCATCAAGCTTAGCATTTATAGAGAGGCTCTTTTGATTTCCCAAACCAGTTTATAAATACTTCCTACCGTAACCACATCTTGGCGAGGTAAGGTGAGTGTTTACTATCCCCGCATGACCAATAGAAACCCAAGGCCAGGGACAGAGTCAGGAGCGACATTAAGACTGGGCATCCCTTGCCCGAACCAGTCTGGCTCAGTGGATAGAGCGTCGGCCTGCAGACTCGAGGGTCTCAGGTTCGATTCCGGTCAAGGACATGTACCTTGGTGGCAGGCACATCCCCAAAGGGGGGTGTGCAGGAGGCGGCTGATTGATGTTTCTCTCTCAGCAATGTTTCTAACTCTATCTCTCTTCCTTCCTCTCTGTAAAAAAATTAATACAATATATTAAAAAAACAAAAAACTGGGCGTCCCAAGGCCACCTGCTCTAAGTTGTGGGGCGGCCATGACCCTTTAGTGTAGCAACAGTCTCTGTTAACACAGGGTTCCGCATCGCATAGATAGAAAACAACACACAATGACATTATAGAACAATAATCCAATATTCTTGTTTCTTAGTAAAATAGGTTAAGCACAGTATTTAAATTGCATTTCTCTGAAAAGCATTTGGTATATTAAACAGCAGAAGGTATATTAAATAGCAGAAGGCATAGTAAATAGCTCTATAAACGTTTGCTGGCATACTCTTAACAGCATAAAGATTCTAAAGAAATTCAAGTCCACTGGCCCACGGAGATGGTTCCTTTCTAATACCACAGACCAAACAAAAACCCGAAAAACAACGTCAGTCTCCATAATACAGACTTCACCGTTTGCTGGCTGTTAGCAGGGAGCTACATAATTTTTCTGAGCTTGAGAGAAAGGATGCAGATTTTTGCTGGCTATGGTTGTAAAATATCTACTCGGTAGAGAAAAATGCAGTTGAAAGGTGAAAATGAAAGATTGCTATTTCTGCCCAGCTGGCATGGCTCAGTGGTTGAGCATAGACCTATGAACCAGGAGGTCAAGGTTCGATTCCCCATAAGGGCACATGCCTGGGTTGTGGGCTCTGGCCCCAGGGTGGGGTGTGCAGGAGGCAGCCGATCATGGATGTTTCTAAATCTCTCTCCCTCTTCCTTCCTCTTTGAAATAAAATATATATATATATTAAAAAAAAAATAGACTGCTGTGTCCATTTTGTACCCATTCTGAGGAAAACATACATTTTCAGAAGATATCCTGCTTGAGAACTAGTGTTGAGGTGACTCCAGGCAAACTAGATCATGAGAACCTTTTATGAGAAGAGAAAATGACACACACACACACACACACACAATCTATGGTATTAGAAGAAAATGAACACAGAGGCAAGAAAAGTATTTTCCAAGAGTTACTAAAGGCTGCCATGGGAAGTTCATGACTCAATGACTGGACAGGTCTTGGAGATGGTTGACGAGGATGGATTCTTGGCTTGACCTCCTGTCCAAGGTGACATCCTCCCTCTCCTCCAAGCCAGTGGTTCGCAGAATAGCAAAGAAGCTTACCGCATGCGAAGCTTCCTAAGAACTGACCCGGTGGGCCAGCAGAAATCTTAAAATTGGTATGCAAACGTGAAAACGAACTCCCAAGCCGGAATGACATTCTCCGTCAGAAGTCACAAGTACAAAAGTCTCGAAGGGAGTGTACACACCCCTAAGATGTGGTTAAATAGGACATGGCATTCAAAGATTATTTTTTAATAAGTGTGCTTTTCCCCTAAAAAAAAGACATATCAAATGGTTCTTCTCTCCTACAGTCCTTTATATATAAACTAGAGGCCCTGGTGCACAAATTTGTGCACAGGTGGGGTCTGGTCGGCTCGCCCTGATTGGGGCCTATCAGGCTGGGTCAGCCGGCGGGAGGGGCCATGGGTGGTTGGTGGGCGGACCCTGACCCCACCCTTGATGATCGGGGTATGGGGGTCAACTGGGGCATTTGGCCGGCCAGCCCCGCCCTCTGGTCAAACTCCCCTTTGGAACTCTTGGTCGAGGGGACAATTTGCATATTAGCCTTTTATTATAGAGGATACGAAACACCAGTGGTCCGTCAGGGTGTTTGTTCATGTTATACACTCGCAGGGTCCTTCCCACTCGTGCTGTTATGTGGCAGTTTTGCTGGAGGGAGGGCTGAGATTGGACGGGCTGGAGCAGTTCGGCTGTTTGGTTGGCTGTAAGCTCCTAGCGTAGGGTGAGTACCAGTCCCTCTCAAACACGTCTTTCAGCTGCTTAATGATGCTTGTGTCATTCCTCACGTCTGCTTGGTTGATAACAAGGCCCGTGCCCGCGTTCTGGGTGAAGTCATTCCCTACCCAGTCAAAGTTTCCTGCAAACGAACACAGTACAAAAGAAATGGTGAAGACCTGTTGGGGATATTCCCCTTAGAGTGCCACGCACAGCAGAGTCTATTAAACATATCATGGCCCTCACTGGCGTGGCTCAGTGGGTAAAGCATCGATCGGCCTGGGGAACTGAAGGGTCCTAGGTTTGATTCTGGTCAAGGGCTCATGCCCAGAGAGAGAATCCATGATTCTCTCTCATCATTGATGTTTCTCTCTCCTGCTCTCTTCTGCTATGAAATCAATAAAAAAACAACATATATATATTTTAAAATATATAAAACGAAATACACATCCGGGCATGGCGACAGGACGCCTAAACTGTGTTGACAGCTCTGAGAAAAACAACTCCGAGAAGGCTTACGTAGGACAAGATCAATATTTGTGTGTGATTTCCGCATTCTCTTCAGCTTTGCTCAACTTGAAATGCACACCAGAGGATCTGCTGCTCTTTTTTTTTGTCGATGTTATTTTATTTTATTTTTTTAATGTATTTTTATTGATTTTTTTACAGAGAGGAAGGGAGAGAGATAGAGAGCTAGAAATGTCGATGAGAGAGAAACATCGACCAGCTGCCTCTTGCACACCCCCTACTGGGGATGTGCCTGCAACTCAGGTACATGCCCTTGACTGGAATCGAACCTGGGACCTTTCATTCTGCAGATTGATGCTCTACCACTGAGCCAAACTGGTTTCAGCTCAATGTTATTTCTTATTGGCATTCACAAGACATGCTACATACAGCAACATTTAACATGTGCAAAAAATAAATAAATAAATAAATAAATAAATAAATAAAATAAAATATGCAGGGATCCACTTAAGAACCCTGCGAACAATCACCGCCTCCTCAGAGAGACGGCGTCTAGTCCCTACGGACAGATGAGGGATGCTAGTTCTAATGCTCCGAAGCTTCACGTTCAAGGAGAAGCCGAGGCCGGACGTAGAGGACCAGTTCCTGTCCCAACAGGCAAAACAGTCCTTTCTTGGGTCCGACTTCGTTTCCAGTTCCGGCTCCTCAGCCCAGAACGGAGGCAGCTGCTGGACAGCTCCCACTATGAGCATGTGGCTTGGAAAGTATTCATTAGTGAAGGCAGCTGTCACGAAGCACCTCCAACGACAGAGAAGTATTGTCGCACAGTCTGGATGGAGGTCCAAAGTCCAAGGTCAGGTGTGGGCCGGGCTGGTTCCTTCGAGGGCTGTGAGGGGAGCTCAGGCCAGGCCTCTCTGCTGGGCGTGTGGACGCTGCCTCTTCGCATGGTCCTCCCCCGGGCACGCCTGTGCCCACATGTCCCGCCCCCCCCCTTCTTTAAAAATATATTTTCATTGATGTCAGAGAGGAAGGGAGAGAGAGAGAAACATCAATGATGAGAGAGAATCGATTGGCTGCCTCCTGCATGCCCCTAACTGAGGATGGAGCCTACAACCCGGGCATGTGCTGGAATCGAACCCAGGACCCTTCAGTCCACAAGCTGGCACTCTATCCACTGAGCCAAACCAGCTACAGCCAAATGTCCCCTTTTCATAAAATATATTTTATTGATTTTTTTTTTTTTTTTTTACAGAGAGGAAGGGAGAGGGATAGAGAGTTAGAAACATCGATGAGAGAGAATCATCGGTCAGCTGCCTCCTGCACACCCCCAACTACGGATGTGCTCGCAACCAAGATACATGCCCTTGACCGGAATCGAACCCCGGACCTTTAAGTCCGCATGCCGACACTTTACCCACTGAACCGACCCGGTTTCAGCTGTCCTCTTTTTATAAGGATATCAGTCAACTTGGATTAGCTCCCGCCCACCTCCGAGGATCTCATTATAACTTGATTACTTCTGTGTAGACCCCATCTCCAAATCAGGTCATGTTCTAAGGTTCTGGGGTTAGGACTCAATCTATGAATTTTGGGCGGACACGATTCAGCCGATAGCGGGTGGTAAGGCTGGGATGGGTCCCATTATGGGCTAATCACATCTAAGTCACTCACATATGGTCAACCTTTTATTTATTTTTATTGATGTCAGAGAGAGGAAGGGAGAGAGAGAGAAAGAGAGAGAGAGAGAGAGAAATATCAGTGATGAGAGAGAATCATTGTTCGGCTGCCTCCTGCACTCCCCACATTAGGGATTGAGCCCCCAACTAAGGCACGTGCCCTGACTGGGAATCAAACCTCAGCCTCCTGGTTCATGGGTTGACGCTCAACCACTAAGCCAGGCCAGCTGGGCGACTCTAATCATATTTTTGTCCCCATCCCTTAGGGCAGTGGTCAGCAAAGTGTGGCTCGAGAGCCACCTGCGGCTCTTGAGCCGAGGTCTGCAGCTCTGTTGACTAATGAGTTTGCCCACCGCTGCCTTTGGGGTGTGGTTCAAAGCCAGGTCTGACTCCATGGCCCACATTTAACTTCCATCCACGTCACCTCTGACCCTAAGGCGTGCCTGGCGCTACCTGTGCATGTCACCCTGGACTTCAACACCAGTGGTGCATCAGGGCACACGCTGGGATCTCTGCTCCAAACACCTGTAGACCACACCCTCTTAAGGAAACACACATACTGTGTTTCCCTGAAAATAAGAAAATATATTTCACCCAGGTTTCCTTCTGAGTGAAATATAAGGCATCCCCCCCCCCTCCCAAGAATAAGGCCCCCCTAGGCTCTGTCTCAGAATGTTATTGCTAAACATGAGAGATTTGGTCCACTGATTCTGAAAGAAATTGGAGACACAAGAAATTCACCAGGAAATTCAGGAATTAGATTGTTATGATGATGTTCCAGAAGATGATGACATGATTGTCATTGAATAAATGAGTAAATTCTTGATACTGTAGGATTCACAGTCTGTCTGGTTTGTGTTGACAACAACTGTACTACCGTACCGTATACAGGTAATACATTTCCTTTATTTTCATTTAACAATAAATGTGTACCGTATTCGTCTTCATGGAAAAATCAGACATCCCCTGAAAAATAAGACCTAGCGCATCTTTGGGAGCAAAAATTAATATAAGACACTGTCTTATTTTCGGGGAAACAGGGTAGAAATGTGCTTTGGCCCTAACTGGTTTGGCTCAGTGGATAGAGCATCGGCTTGCAAACTGAAGTCAATACGAATATATTTTTAAAAAGTTAAAATAAAAGACATGTGCTTAGGGGTAGCACAGCGAAGGGATGAGATTTTCAAGCCTTATTCTGTGAGATTTATCCTTTTCCTTCAATATAAAAGAATCTTTATTGATTCTCAGAAGAAGAAGAATTGGTTCTTCTCAGGAATGTAGCTGTAGGCTATTCTCACAGGCCCACAGGGGCATTCCTACACTAGTGCGATCACGGTGCGTTTTTTTTTTATCTTCCGACTGGCTTGGCTGGACTTCAAAATCATAAGCTTCAGTCTTCCTCTCAGTTGGTTGGGATGGGTTCGCCCAGCTCTTTAGAGACGGCCAATCAGCTTCCGGATGCAGGTGTGGGCCCCAGAGGCCAGAACTGTGGTGCCAGCTGCAGGATCGCCATGGCGATGGCACCAATCATCTCACTGGGAAGGCAGATGGGCCTAGTGAGCCTTCAGTCAACCACTGCCCCTGGTCAGTCCTCGAATCATCCGAACCATCCTCCAGACGAGTCTGCCACGCTTGACTCAAACATACTCTGGAGACTTAAACATTAGAGAGATGATACTGTTTGGAGATGGTTCTGTAAGTTTTGTGAAAATCAATAGAGCTGAAATTCCAAAAATCCATTCTAGTGTGGATTTTTCTTAATTCAGAATTCTCAGTGGGTGTCCGGGTGATGACTTAAGAGCTTTCCAGAACATGCTGGTAATTATTTAAATTATCAATGAATTTTCCTCTTGAAGCCCTTGAAATATTTTTATACTGAAACTATGCTTTGCTCTAGGGAATCAATGTTTTGCTAAAGTGCTATGGGTAAAATAAACTCAATTAAAAATGCATTACAATAACAGAGCCCAGAAACAGATGCACACACAAACTGATCTTGACAAAGGAGCAAAGACAATACGATGGAGCAAAGACAGTCTTTTCAATAAAAGGTGCTGGGACAACAGGGCAGGTAGATGCAAACATGAATCTATTCTGGCAGGTGTGGCTCAGTGGTTGAGCATCGAGCCATGAACCAAGAGATCAAAGGTTCGATTCCCGGTCAGGGCACATGCCCCAGTTGTGGGTTCAATCCCCACTGTGGGGCATGTTGGAGGCAGCTATCGATGTTCCATCTCTCTATTCCTCTCCCTCTTCTCCTCTCAAAAGCCATAAGAACATTAAAAAAAAAATCTAGACACAGACCTTCCACCCTTCACAAAAATTAACTCAAAGTGGATCATCGACCAAAATGTAAAATGCAGCCAAAACTGGCTTGGCTCAGTGGATAGAGTGTCAGCCTGCAGACTAAAGGTAGAGGATGTGCAAGAGGCAGCCGATTGATGTTTCTCTCTCATCGATGTTTCTAACTCTCTATCCCTCTCTCTTCCTCTCTTTAAAAACTCAATAATATATATATATATATATATATATATATATATATATACACACACACACACACACACACACATATATATACACACACACACATATATATATATGTATATATACACACACACATATATATATGTATATATACACACACACATATATATATGTATATATATACACACACACACATATATATATGTGTGTGTATATATATATAATATATATATATATATGAAGTAAAATGCAGAACTCTAAGACTCCTAGGAGAAAATCTAGATGACTTGGGGTTGGGTAAAGATTTTATATACAATACTAAAGACATGATCCATGAAAGAAATAACTGTTGAACTGAACTTAATTAAAATTAACTAGTTCTGTGAAAGACACTGTCAAGAAGAGAAAATGATAAGCCACAGGTTGGAAATAAATACCTGCAGATAATACATATCTGATAACAGATTGTTGTCCAACGTTGCAAGTAACTCTTAAAATAAGAAAATGAAAAACAATAAGAAAACGAAAAACCCAATGAAACCATGGGCCAAAGACCTTCACAGACACCTCACCAAAGAAGATGGACAGATGTCAAACAAGTCTGTGAAGAGATGCTCCACCTCACACGTCACCAGGGAAACGCAAATGAGGACAACAACTCGATGCCACGGCACACCTCTTACAGAGGCCAAAATCCAGACACGGACACCGCCAAAAACACAGGCGGGGGTGTGAAGCCACAGAAATCCCCATTCATTGCTGGTGGGGAGGCGAAACAGTGCAGCCATTTCAGAAGACAGTGCGGCAGTGTCTTTACAGAGCTAAACGCACTCTGACCGCAGGATTCAGCAACCATGCTCTTGGTACGAAGCCTGCACGTGGTGTTTAGAGCACGTTAGTCCTAAATGCCGAAACACCAACGCACACACAATGCCCCTCCAGCAGGTGAATGGGTAAACGATGGTACATCCAGACAATATAATAAATAGTATTCGGCACTACAGAGAAATGAGATCTCAAGCCATCAAACAACGTTAAGTGAAGGCAACGTAAGTCCACATCACTGAGCAAAAGCAGCCAATCTGAAAATATCATAGCGTTGGCTACAACTCCATGATATTTTGGAAAAGACAAAACGATGGAGGTGCTACAAATATCCGCGGTCGCCAGGAGTTGGGGAAAAGGAGGGATGAATAGGTGGAGCGGAGAGGATTGTTAGTGAAAATACCATGTTGAGCCGAAACCGGTTTGGCTCAGTGGATAGAGCATCAGCCTGTGGACTGAAAGGTCCCAGGTTCGATTCCGGTCAGGGGCATGTACCCAGTGGGGGGTGTGCAAGAGGCAGCTGGTCGATGATTCTCTCTCATCGATGTTTCTCTCTATCCCTCTCTCTAAAAAAATCAATAAAATATATTAAAAAAAAAGAAAATACCGTGTGATACTATAATGATAATGACATCATAGACATCACACAATGACGTCATCATACATTTGTCCAAACCCACAGGATGTACTAAACCAACAGTGAACCCTAAGGTAACCTATGGGCTTTGGGTGATGATGATGATGATGATGATGATGATGATGATGTCAATGTTGGTTTATCAACAATGACACATGCACCATTCTCGTGGGGGAATCTGGGGGAGGCTGTGTGTGGGGTCAGGGGGTGGGGTATATAGGAAGTCTCTGTACTTTATGCTCAGTTGTGTTGGGACATAAAACTTCTCTGGAAAAAAAAAAAGTCTATTTTAAAATGCGGTATGCAGCAGAAACCGGTTTAGCTCAGTGGAAAGAGTGTCGGTCTGTGGACTGAAATGTCCCAGGTTCGATTCCGATCAAGGGCATGTACCTTGGTTGTGGGCACATCCCCAGTAGGGGGTGTGCAAGAGGCAGCTGATCGATGATTCTCTCTCATCGATGTTTCTATCTCTCTATCCCTCTCTCTTCCTCTCTGTGAAAAATCAATAAAATATATATAAAACACTGTATGCATTATGGGGGAAGAAGCGAGACAGCCAGGAATGAATATTTACTTAGGATCTATGCAGATAAGAGCCTTTCCTATTTTACCTCAATCACTCCTCATTCCACGGCGGGAGGGGACACAGTTACCCGTTTTACAAAGGAGGCGGCAATGAGAGAGGACGCATGGCTTCCCACCGTGTTCAGGCTTGGGTCAGTGTAAAACTCAAAACCGGTTTGTCTGAGTCCAAAACACTCCTTTAATTCATCAAAAGAACATCTGGGTGGAGGCCCCAGTCACGGCTGCACGTCCACCCAACACCTTACTTTTAGGAGACCCTGCAGGCAAATTGTCCAGATTTGAGTTCCGAAATCCCACGGTGCCTGGACCTGACCATCCCCGTGGATCCGGCGGAAGGGGCTGCCCTGGCCGGACACACATGGTGGGACAGGAGAACACACTTGACCCGCCAGTGAGTCATTCCATCAGGACGCGGGATGGCCACACCTGGAACTCCACGGCCTTTGGAGACAGCACTCACGTGACTCGGGGTGACCCCCGTGCTGGGTGATGTGCACATCAGATCCCATGTCACCTTCACCCGGTGAAGGAGGAGCTCCTGTTGGGCCCATTTTACAGATGAGAAGACTGAGAGCTCACATACATGGTCTAAGGGTGGGACTGTCGCCCTGGGGGCGTGTTGGCACGCTGGCTATGGTCCTGTGTGTAGGGAAGGGGCAGGGTGCCAGGACGCCCCGGTGATGAGCCAGTCACCACCTCACCTACCACCCCACCACGACCAAAGAAACTCCCGCAAATCATTTATGAAAAAATAAAAAAAATCTCGCTGAAACGGGTTTGGCTCAGTGGCTAGAGTAGGGGTGTCGAACTCAATCAGAGAAGGGGCCAAAATCTAAAATCCAGCCTAAATCGAGGGCCGAATGGTTTACTGAACAGTCATAAACTGTCATTGTGATGGAAACGCAGCGGAGTGCAGTGATGACAGCGCGGTGCGGGCCACATTGCAAGGCCTGGCGGGACGGATTTGGCCCGCGGGCCGTGTGTTTGACGCATGTGGGCTAGAGCGTCAGCTTGCGGACTGAAAGACACAGGGTTCGATTCCGGTCAAGGGCATGCACCTTGGTTGCAGGCACATCCCTGATGGGGTGTGTATAAGAGGCAGCTGATCAATGATTCTTTCTCATCGATGTTTCTAACTCTCTATCCCTCTCTCTTCCTCTCTGTAAAAAATCAATAAAATATTAAAAAAAAACATCTCTTAGGGCCTCTTAGTAGGCGAGCCAGCCACAGAGATGCCAGGCTGAAAGCTCTTCACACTCCCTGTCATGTTTCCTCACCTGCAAGGCCCCACCCCCCTTCCCCGGTGCCCCCAGTGCCTCTTCGCCGTGGGGCAGAGCACCGCTGGGCCACCTCGGACCCGGGCTCCCCGAGGGGCCTGCCCCGCAGCCCGGGCACCTACCGATGTAAGCCGCTCCATCCGTGACCATGTACTTGTTGCGATTCAGTCTCGGGAAGGTGAGGTTCCTCTGTTCTTTGGCTGCACACGTGTTCTCTCTCTCCAGGTCAAAGAACTTCTGGAAGACACAAACGGAGAAATAAATAGAGCAGGTGAACAGAGAATGCTTTTGCTCTTTTTTTTAATTTTTATGTTTTTAAATCTATTTTTATTGATTTCAGCAAGGAAGGGAGAGGGAGAGTGAGAAAGAGAGAAACGTCAATGATGAGAGAGAATTGTTGATCAGCTGCCTCCTGCACGCCCCCCTACTGGGGATTGAGGCTGCAACCCGGGCATGTGCCTTTGACCAGAATCGAAGCAGTGTGGCTCAGTGGATAGAGCATCAGCCTGCAGACTGAAAGGTCCCAGGTTCGATTCCGGTCAAGGGCATATACCTTGGTTGCGGGCACATTCCGAGTAGGGGATGTGCAGGAGGCAGCTGGTCGATGTTTCTCTCTCATCAGTGTTTCTAGCTCTCTATCCCTCTCCCTTCCTCTCTGTAAAAAAAAATCAGTAAAACATATTTTTTAAAAAAGAATGAAGTCTAAAGGCCTGTTCACCTCCTAACCCATATTTGCCTCCTACGAAGTCCTCCAATCTTTCTCTCCGTGTGTGTGTGTGTTTTTCTCTTTAAATATATTCTTATTGATTTTAGAGAGAGAGAGAGAGAGAGAGAGAGAGAGAGAGAGAGAGAGAGAGAGAGAGAGAGAGAGAAGCACCAATGATGAGAGGGAATCATTGCTCAACTGCCTCCTCCATGCCCCCGATTGAGATGGAGCCCGCAACCGGGCATGTGCGCTGACCGGGAATCCAATCATGACCTCCTGGTTCATAGCTCAAAGCCCAACCACTGAGCCACGCTGGCCGGGCCCTATCCTACCTTTTAAAGTGTTTTTCTCTCTCTGGAGGACTGGTATTCCTGTTCTTACTGGGAGTTTGTGGGGATGTGTGTGTTCACAGCTTTCACGGATGGATGTGCAGAGGGAAGGGACGCTTTCTCTTTAAGAGCGAAGCAGCCGAAACCGGTTTGGCTCAGTGGTAGGGCGTCTGTCTGCGGACTGAAAGGTCCCAGGTTCGATTCTGGTCAAGGGCATGTACCTTGGTTGCGGGCACATCCCCGGTAGGGGGTGTGCAAGAGGCAGCTGGTCGATGTTTCTCTCTCATCGACGTTTCTAGCTCTCTATCCCTCTCCCTTCCTCTCTGTAAAAAATCAATAAAAAATATATTAAAAAAAAAAAAGAGCGAAGCAACAGAATACTTACAACTTTCAAACTGCAGTTGGCGATTTCAGTGCAGATAGCTTTGAGAGACGAGATGAAGTTAAATGTAAGGGGATCAGTTTTCTTCCAGAAGCTGATCAGGAGTCGAACTTTGACGCTTCGCAAAACCAACGCTTCTCTTATCTTCCCATCCAAGTCTGGCCAGTAGGACCTGCGGAAATAGTACCGACATGGATCAAAATGGAACAAGCAAGTTGGTTTTGGAAAATAGATTTACTAGGCCTCAGAGAACACCGATGTTCATCTGACCATCACTTTGTTCTGTGATATACACTGAGTGGCCATATAATGATGATCTCTGAATGCATAATATATAATCTGGCCACTCAGTGGGTGTATAAATATATTAGAGGCCCGGTGCATGAATTCGTGCATGGGTGGGGTCTGGCCAGCCTGGCCAGAGGGAGGGGACACAGGCGGTTGGCTGGTCTGCCTGCTGGTCGAACTCCTGGTCGAGGGGACAATTTGCATATTAGCCTTTTATTATATAGGATATACATTGAGTGTCCAGATTACTATGTGTTCAGAGATCATAATAATCTGGCCATTCTGTGTGTGTGTGTGTGTGTGTGTGTGTGCATTAGAGGCCCGGTGCATGAATTCGTGCATGGGTGGGGTCCAGCCAGCCTGGCCAGGGGGGCGGTTGGCCGGCCTGCCTGCTGGTCGAACTCCTGGTCGATGGGACAATTTGCATATTAGTCTTTTATTCTATAGGTTAGACACTGAGTGGCCAGATTATGATGCGTTTAGAGATCTTAATAACCTAGCCACTCAGTGTATATGTGATTGTAGGATACCTTGGGAAGATAGGGGAAAGCAAGCCTCCTGGGCTAGAGCACAGAGAGAGGATGCTTTATGGAGACCTGCCCTTGCCTACAACCAGTCTCCCAGCACCAGGCCTCAGGCTGTGAGGGCAGAGGGCATGGACACCCTGACACACCACCCATGCCACCCTCACTGCACTTCCAACTCTACCTACGCTCCAAGAATCAACTTTTCTTTCTTTCTTTCTTTCTTTCTTTATTTATTTATTTATTTTAAATATATTTTATTGATTTTATACAGAGAGGAAGGGAGAGAGATAGAGAGTTAGAAACATCGATGAGAGAGAGTCATTGATCAGCTGCCTCTTGCACACCCCCTAGTGGGGATATGCCCGCAACCAAGGTACATGCCCTTGACTGGAATGGAACCTGGGACCCTTCAGTCCCCAAGCTGACGCTCTATCCATTGAGCCAAACCGGTCCCGGCCCAAGAATCAACTTTTAAAAAAATTTTATTGATTAAGGTATCACATATTTGTCCTCAATCCCCCAACAACTTCTCTTCTTATTTTTAATATGTTTTTATTGATTTCAGAGAAGAGCCCTAACAGATTTGGCTCAGTGGATAGAGCGTTGGCCTGAGGACTGAAAGGTCCCAGGTTCGATTCCGGTCAAGGGCATGTATCTTGGTTGTGGGCACATCCCCAGTAGGGAGTGTGCAGAAGGCAACTGGTGGATGTTTCTCTCTCATCGATGTTTCCCTCTCCCTTCCTCTCTGCAAAATATCAATAAAATATATTAAAAAAACAAAAACAAGAAGAAAGGAGATGGAGAGAAAGAAACATCAATGACGAGAGGAGAGAGAATCATTGCTTAGCTGCCTCCTGCACGCCCCCTACTGGACATCGAGCCTGTAGCCCCGACATGTGGCCCAGACCAGGAATCAAACCGTGACATGACCTTCTGGCTCATTAACCACTGAGCCAATGCCGGTGGGCTCGCCCAGCTGGCTGGAATGATGAGTGACCTGAGAACATCCTGGTATGCAGGCGGGCTTCCCCAGGGGTCGCCAGCTCGGTGCCTGGTCCCCGAGACCAGGTTCCAAGTCAAGGCCATGCGCTCACTGACCTCTTGGTGCTTGTGCTGGAGATGGGCAGGTAGTCCATGACGGCGATGTACACGTACTGCTTGGCGTCGTCGATCACGCTGTAGATGGCGTCGATGTCAAAGCTTCTGTTTTTAGGGCAAAAGAGTTTGGGGGAATTCTGTGGGAGCAGAGACCAAACTTTTAGAGCATTAACTTGCGTCAACTGGGTTTTTCCCTCTCTCTTTAAAAAAAAAACACCAACATATATATATATTTTTTTTAATTGATTTTTTTTATTGAGAGAAAGAGAGAGGGATAGAGAGTTAGAAATATCGATGAGAGAGAATCATCGATCAGCTGCCTCTTGCACATCCCCCACTGGAGATGTGCCTCCAACCAAGGTACATGCCCTTGATCGGAATCAAACCCAGGATTCTTCAGTCCACAGGCCAACGCTCTATCCATTGAGCCAAACTGGTTTCAGCTCTCTCTCTCTCTCTTTTTTTTTTTTTTGCAAACCAACTTTCCAGTTCTTTAGCAGATAAGACAAATATATTAGCCATCCTATCAGAGTTGGGGCATGCAGGCAGCAAAGTGTGGTGGGATTGGTCTCAAGTATGTCCTCTCAGTCTGTTTTGGGAGGGAATTTATAAAAATATGTGTACTAGGATGAGAACCAGGTGGAGGGGAGCTATGGGGGGAAAAAGAGGAACAACTGTAATAACCTGAACAATAAAGATTTATTAAATAATTAAATAAACAAATAAATAAAATAACACACAATTCCTAGCCTCAAGGAATTAAAAATCAAATTAAGGACATTAAAAATCAATTACAAAGAAAATAAATAAATAAATAAAATATATATGTACTATATATATTTGTACTAGATATATAGTACTAACTATATATATACTAGATATATTTGTATTATATATAATGTTCTAGATATATATGTACTAGATATATATGTACTAGATATATTTAAAATATATATGCTAGATATATTTTAAAATATATGTACTAGATATATATGTATTAGATATATTTTTATTGCTTTCGGAGAGGAAGGGAGAGGAGGAAAAAGAGAATCATTGATTGGCAGCTTCCTACACACCCCCTTCTGGGAATGTGCCTGCAAGCAATGTACATGCCCTTGACCAGGAATCTAACCATGACCTCCTGGTTCATAGGTAGACGCTCAACCACTGAGCCACACTGGCTGGCCAGTATAACCTCATTTGTAACACAATCCTAGGTCTACCTTAAGGGATGATTGTAAGGGTCCAATCAGATTACATAAAGTATCTGGAATTGGGAATAATTATTAACATTTATCCTGGTCATCCTCATTAGGGATAGCATATGACAGAGCATAAGAGTGGACAGATTTAAAAAAAAATATATTTTATTGATTTTAGCAAGGAAGGGAGAGGGAGAGAGAGAGAGAAATACCAATGAGAGAGAATCATAGATTGGCTGCCTCCTGCAAGCCCCATACTGGGGATCGAGCCTGTAACCCGGGCATGTGCCCTTGGCCGGAATCAAACTTGGGACCCCTCAGGCCCCAGGCTGACGATCTATCCATTGAGCCAAACCAGCTAGGGCATGAGTGGACAGATTTGAACTCTTCAAGGACTGGAACAGAAACCGACCTGCCGAATCCATCACTGCCCAACGTAAGGCCACTCTCGAGCATCCCAACGTAACGAAGGGCCCGGACAGGGATTCGGGGGTGTAGAGGGGGAGACAGAGGCAACAACTCACCGACACAAACGCTTGCGATTTGGTTTCGTTCAACTGCAGCTGCAGCTTCTTCTCGTTGTCGTACACGCCGTAGAGCCTCTTGGACCAGGTCTGGGGCACTCTGCTCTTGAACTTCAAGGAGCTGTACAAAGCGAAGATCCTCTGCAAATCCAGGACCAGGCAGCTGCAGTTGTAGAAGATGACACCGAGTTCTTTCATCTGAGACAAAACAAAACAAAAACAAAACACACACACACACACAAAGGCATCAAGGCCATGTGCGTCTGACCGTGTTGGTTTCAGAGAGAAAACAATGCACAAGGATGAAGGAGTAGCTGTTTGTTTCTTTGAAAGTCTACACATGGAAACCCCAAATCCATGTTATTTCCCCCACTACCAGCTACACTGATGGGCTGATAGAGATTAGCCAAGTTTCTCTTTAATGCTTTTTAAAAAATTGACTTATTTATTTAAAAAATATTTTTATTGATTCCAGAGAGGAAAGCAGAGAGAAAAAGAGAGAGAGAGAGAGAGAGAGAGAGAGAGAGAGAGAGACCCCATCAATGATGAGAGGGAATCGTTGATCGGCTGCCTCCTGCACGTCCCTTACTGGGATGGAGCTCGCAATCCGGGCATGTACTCTTAACTGGAATAGAATCTGAGACCCTTCAGTCCGAAGGCCGATGCTCTATCCACTGAGCCAAACCAGCTAGGGCTAAATTGATTTTTAGAGTGAGAGGAAGGCAGAGGGAGAGATAGAAACATCGATGAGAGAAAAACACTGAAATATAAATCAGCTGCCTCCTGACTGGGAATTGAACCAGCGACCTCTTGGTCCATGGGTCAACTTTTTTTTTTTTTTTTTTTTTTTTTTTTTTTTTACAGAGAGGAAGAGAGAAGGATAGAGAGCTAGAAACATCAATGAGAGAGAATCATCCATCAGCTGCCTCCTACACACCTCCTACCAGGGATGTGCCCGAAATCAACGTACATGCCCTTGACCGGAATCGAACCCGGGACCTTACAGTCCGCAGACCGAAGCTCTACCACTGAGCCAAACGGGTTTTGGCCACAGGCCGATGTTCTATCCACTGCGCCAAACCAGCTAGGGCTGGCTTAGTTTAATCTTGCTTTGCCGTTAAGCACCATTTCCCCCACGGCACCCTGAGAATGCCATGCAGACCCATCGCTCATAGAATGAGCATCTCGCAATCAGGAACAAAAGGGTGTGTTTAGGCGGCTCTTAAGGTCCAGGCAGGGCACCATCAGCTGCAGCTAACGCAGCACAGAGGCGTGGGCAGGGGGTGGGTGGGGGTGAAGGAGGCCACGTTACAATGGCACCAGGCCCCGGAGCTCATTTTCCTCGCCGTTGCTGCGGGAACTGAGCTTCGGGAAAGGTTTTGGTCAATATGACAGCTACATGTTGGCGACTTCCACAAGAAAGGGCGGAAGTGACAGCTAATTATAATGGATGCGGGAGCCGGAGCGCTTGAAGTAGGAAGAATGATTTATGGGCATTCTCGCCCGTCACTGCATCGAGTTAATACACTCCAATTTCTCCCGATTAAAATACGAAAGGCACGGAGGAAGAAGAATGGGGCAGTAAAACTCACCTAAAGGAATCTCTCTGAATAGAGTCGTTAAGATAAATGCATTTCTGAGGGAGGTCTAAGCTCTCAAAAGAAATCCAGTGAAACATTTGAAATAAATGTTTGTGGAAGGAAATGAAATGTGAAAGTATATATTGAATGAGCTTTGCCCATAGAGTTTTACCTCAATATTAAAAATGAAACAAGCCCTAGCTGGTTTGGCTCAGTGGATAGAGCACAGGCCTGTGGACTGAAGGGTCCCGGGTTTGATTCCTATCAAGAGCGCATGCCCGGGTTTCAGGCTCAATCCCCAGGCTGGGGCGAGCAGAAGGTACCTGATCAATGATTCTCTCTCATTATTGATGTTTCTCTCTCCCTCTCTGAAATCAATCTATCAACAAATAAAAATAAAAGAAAACAGCCCAGCCGGTATGGTTCCATGGTTTAGCATCAACCTATGCACCAGGAGGTCACGGTTCGATTCCCGGACAGGGCACATGCCCGGGTTTTGGGCTTGATTCCCAATCAGGGGTGAGCAGGAGGCAGCTGATCCATGATTCTCTCTCATAATTGATCTCTCTCTCTCTCTCTCTCTCTCTCTCTCTCTCTCTCTCTCTCCTCTTTTCCTCTTGGAAATCAATATAAATATATTTTTTAAAAAAGAAAGGCAAGAAGAGGGAATCAAAGATTCCTCAAGTCTTTTTTTTTTTTTTTAATATATCTTGTTGATTTTTTACAGAGAGGAAGAGAGAGGAATAGAGATTTAGTTGGAAACATCTATGAGAGAGAAACATCGATCAGCTGCTTCCTGCAGAACAGGAATGCAGAAGCACAAAATACTGACTTCCTAGTCTTGGGAATTCAACCCAGAGGTTGATTGAAATCAAGAATTTAAGTGGGTGTCATTCAATGGCTGTGATGTCACAATAGGTTTGAAATTAGGAAGATGTGAAGGTTTTTTTTTTTTTTTTTTTTTTTTTTTTAAACAAATAGTGTTAGATTTTCTCTTCTTTTCTTGAATGAATCTTTATTGTTGAAAGTATTACAGATTAGTGTTCATTTTTCTTAAAGAAAAGCACATGAGAAAGAAAATCGAACAGCTTGGTATCACAGCAAGCAACATCATGAAAGAAAAAACAATTTTTCATAAATAATTTATTTTTAAAAATTATTAGCAGGGAAGTAAGGGGGCGGGGCGGGGTGTTGGAGTTTAGATTGCCTGAGTATGAATTCTAGCTTTGACATTTGACTTTGGGTATGTTACTTACTTGTGTCTCGGCTTCTGCCTTTGTAAAATAAAGAGCTGGTGGTACGTACAAGAAAGGATTATTGTAAATGTTAAATGAGTTCAGACTCTTTAATTGCTTAGAAGAATGCCTAGAATAGATCTCCATACATTGAAGCCAATATATATATATATATATATATATATATATATATATATATATATATATATATATATATATATATATATATTTAAATATATTTCTTTATTGACTTCAGAAAGAAAGGGAGAAGGAGAGAGAGACAGAAACATCAATGATGAGAGAATCATTGATCGGCTGCCTCCTGCACACCTTCTACAGGGGATGTGCCTACAACCCAGGCGTGTACCCTTGGCCAGAATCAAACCTGGGACCCTTGAGTCCACAGGCTGACGCTCTATCCACTGAGCCAAGCCGGCGAGGGCTGATATTTTTATTAGTTTTATTATTTCTCCCACTTTCCATAGATCCAAGGCAATAATCTGATTTCACTGGAAAACTTCACAAAATATAAGGCTGATGCTGTAGGTTGAGTTTGACACTTGGGAAATGTAATTGTGCTTCATGCCATTGTTAGCTTCACAAACAACTTGGCTCTGATTGAAATCCGTTTCAATGCAGGGCTCCTGCGGTGCAGTGCTTTATGTCGCACCGAGGCGGGGCAAGAAAAATCTCACAGAATCAGGGGTTTTTCCAGCACAGCCCAAAGGGGATTGAATTCAAGATGAAAGATTAAGTGCAAGAACATTGTCCCAAATATGAAAAACTATAGGGAAGGGGTGGACAAGGAAGCAGACGGCATTTGTGCATAAGCCTGGAGGGGATGAGGAGAAGGGGTGGGTGTTGATGGAAGAGGAGTCTCCAGTAGGTTAGCAGTTGACAGGGGAGCTAAACGGATGTGAAATGTTCATGCAGAAGAGTTATTTTATTTTATTTTATTTTATTTTTCTTGTTAATCCTCACCTGAAGACATTTTCCCATTGATATTTTTAGAGAGTGGGAGAGGGAGAGACAGAGTCGGAGAGAGAGAGAGCGCGAAACATCGATGTGAGAGACACATCTAGATTGGTTGTCTCCCGCATGCGCCTGACAGGGATTGAGCCTGCAACCAAGGTACGTGCTTTCAACTGGAATTGAATCTTTGACCCTTCAGTCTGCAGGCCAATGTTCTATTCACTGAGCTAAACTGGCTAGGGCCAGAAGAGTTTTAAATTCTTCTCCTTCCCCAGATGTGTCTCCTCTCCATCCCCATCAAAGAACAGAGTCTTTTCCAGGAGAAAAATAGGAAAGATTGTTACCAGAATAGAAACGAGATTTCTTTAATTTTTTGAGTTTGGTTTAGCAGCAGAAAAGATGACAACATGGCAACTTAGGGCTGATTCATACTTGAGTCCCAAATTGCCAGGAATAAAATGAAAGATTCAGGTCTGCCAACCTACCCAGTGGTCGGCAAATTCATTAGTCAACAGAGTCAAATACCAACAGCACAATGATTGAAATTTCTTTTGGGAGCCACATTTTTTAAACTTAAACTTCTTCTAACTCCACTTCTTCAAAATAGACTTGCCCAGGCTGTGGTATTTTGTGGAAGAGCCACACTCAAGGGGCCCAAGAGCCGCATGTGGCTCGCAAGCTGCAGTTTGCCGACCACAGACCTAATGCATCAATCTGAAGATTCTAAGATCCAGCCTGGCTGGTGTGACTCAGTGGTTGAGTGTTGACCTATGAACCAGGAGGTCAAGGGTGGATTCAGGTTGTGGGCTCAACTCCCAGCAGGGGGTGTGCAGAAGGCAGCTGATCCATGATTCCCTTTCATCATTGATGTTTCTATCTCTCTCTCCCTCTCCCTTCCTCTCTGAAATCAATAAAGATATATTTTAAAGATTTAAGGACCATCTCTAGGTTCCAATCAATATGGCGGAGCTGTCCTGGCCTCTTCCCATGACCACCTCAAAAACACAACTGAATTAATTACAGACCAAACCACCTGGAGAACAGGCTACTATTTTACAGGTGAGGAGAGCAACGATGGAATCTGTTCCAATACTGTCTTCACTGGGAAGTGGAAGTAACATCCACCCTTAGGCTGCTTTGACAAATGAACAAGTATATCTAACGCTATTAACACAGCATCTAGCATGTAAATAGTAGTATTTTTTTTGGGAAAAAGATGTAAAAATTGCTTCCACTCACTTCTTCCCAATTCCCCCACCCAAGTGAAGTTCAACCTGCTATTAAATTCATAACCAATATTTCTACAAAAGAAATCTGTGTGTAGATATGGGGATGTCCCATGTGGTAGCTTAAAGGTTTCCCACCCACCAACATACATTTTACTCAAGCCCACTGCCCTTGTCCAAGCTACCCAAGGTCACCTCCATCTTAATATTAAAGAGCCGAGCTAAAATGTAGCCCGTGAGGGCCCATGCCCGGGTAATAAATGTCTTCCTGTGCACCAATGATCCAGCACTTCCTGCCACCGGTTGACCATTGGGAGGAAGGCGATGTAGTCTACTATGGATCACGTGGACACAAATACATACATGAAAATAACAAGACCGTGCAAGTGTACTTCCAAGTTTCAAATTGATTATTTGCAGAGAGAAAGATAACACCTTCATTTTAAGACTTATTGAAAGAATAGCACAAATTCCTATTCTAAAACATACGATATTGCACAATGTAGATGTTTTCCTCTATTTCGTAGATTACGTAATCGGATCCTGGAAATTTAGGTTTAGGTAATGGGAAATACACCCTGGCCTGCTCTAAAGAATCTGACACATCTGAGTTACAAAAGCCTAACACAGTTTTTTTTTTTGTATTTTGTTTTTTGTTTTGTTTTTGTGTTTTTGGTAAGGTGATTCTGACAAGGAAAGGCCTAACATTCCACATTAACTAAAGGTGACTCTCATCAAACAGTACAGTTAAAATTCACAATGACCCTGGCCCAGCATGGCTCAGTGGTTGAGCATCGACCTATGAGCCAGGAGGTCACAGGTTTAATTCCCAGTCAGGGCACATGCCTGGGTTGCGGGTTCGATCTCCAGGAAGGGGCGTGCAGAAGGCAGCTGATCAGTGATCCTCATAATTTCTCTCTTTCTCTTTCCCTCTCCACTCCTTTCTGAAATCAATAAAACTATATTTAAAAAAAAAAAATGAGCCGAAACCGGTTTGGCTCAGTGCATAGAGCGTCAGTCTGCAGACTGAAGGGTCCCAGGGTTCAATTCCGGTCAAGGGCATGTGCCTTGGTTTCGGGCACATCCCCGGTGGGGGGTGCGCAGGAGGCGGCTGGTTGATGTTTCTCTCTCATTGATGTTTCTGGCTCTCTATCCCTCTCCTTTCCTCTCTGTAAAAAAAATTAATAAAATATATATTTTTAAAAAATAACAAACGCTGTAGGTTGATTTCCCTCAACCACAGCAGAGGTGACTGTGCGTTAGGGATGGGGCAGTTCTGAGGCTGAGAAGACTCGGGGTGTTACCTGTCCCAGAGACCGCCAGTCCAGGCCCGCGCTGCCGATGTACACGTGCTGCTTGTCCACGATCCAGAAGGAGGACTGCAGCCGGCCCTTGTTGTAGGCCGACATGTTCATGTAGGTCACCTCGGCGCCTAGGAGGTCAAGAAGATGACATCAGCCCCGTGTGCAGGCCCCGACCCAGCAACCAGTCGGTCACCACCCCGATCTTCGAGGTGCGCATGGACCCCAATTCAGGGAGAGAGAATCATCGATGGGCTGCGTCCTGCATGCCCCGTCCTGGGGATCCAGCCTGCAACCCAGGCATGTGCCTTGACAGGAAACCCAACCGTGACCTCCTGGTTCATAGGTCGATGCTCAACCACTGAGCCATGCCAGCCGGGCTAACTTACTTGTTATGGAAGCTGGTGTTGGAGGGCATTCTGTTTCTTTACTGTTATTTTTAAGGTATTATTCAGATGATTTTGTACTTTATTTTATGCACACATAATTCTAGAATCCCCACAACCTTTATATATATTTATAAATATATATATATATTTATATATTTATATATATATATATATATATATATATATATATATATATATATATATATATACACATACACACACACACACACATACACTAGAGGCCCAGTGCATGAAATTCGTGTGTGTGTGTGTGTGTGTGTGTCCCTCAGCACAGCTTGCACCCTCTCCAATCTGGGATCCATCTCACAATCTAGGACTGCTGGCTCCCAACCACTCGCCAGCCTGCCTGTCTGATTGCCCCTAACCGCTTCTGCCTGCCAGCCTGATCACCCCCTAACCTCTCCCCTGTCAGCCTGATTGACCCTTAACTGCTCCCCAGTCGGCCCAATTGCCCCTAACTGTCCTCCCCTGCTGGCCTGGTTCCCCACAACTGCCATCCCCTGCAGGCCTGATTGCCCACAACTGCCCTCCCCTGCCAGCCATCTGTGGTGGCCATCTTGTGTACACATGGGGGCAGCCATCTTGTAGGTTGGAGTGATGGTCAATTTGCATATTACTCTTTCATTAGATAGGAGGATATCCCCCCAAAATGTGTACACACTTTCAGAGAGGAAGGGAGAGGGAGAAATAGAAACATCGATAATGAGAATTACTAATCAGTTGCCTCCTGCATGCCCTCTACTGGGGATTAAGCCTGGAACCCGGGCACATGACCTGGAATCGAACCCTGACCTCCTGGTTCATAGGTTGATGCTCAACCACTAAGCCCCGTAGCTGTTAAATGAAAATGAAATATATTTTAATAAATATTGCCTTTATAATTACTCAAAGTGTGTATATTTTTGGGGCCACCCTGTATATATTTAATATTTGACTAAAAATATTCAGCTCTAGCCTGAACACTCATGCAAATTTTTTGCAAGTTGCAGTAATTGCACAATTAAATGTTCCAAATTTTGAAGATTTAAAATAAGCATCCTGTTAAAATATTCATCGAAATGACACAAGAAGAAGTACACTAGTACCTTGTGGTTAAAAGTAAAAAAAATTAATAAATAAAGTTCCACATTCTCTGTGGATTATCATCATGAAAATCAAACAAATCCCACCTGCAATTTTATTTCCAGAAAGTCTCCTGTTGAAAGCACATTATCATTATCAGCTTTTATATTTGTAGTTATCATTATCAGCTTTAATACATTTTATGACCGAACATTTATAGATGCCCAAGAGGATATATGTAAACTACAAGTAGGAAGCACCATATATACATATAGACACCTGTGAATCTTCCATCTTTCTAAAAACTAGAACCTTAACAATTCCATTTTTTTTTTAATCCTCACCCCGAGGATATTTTTTCCATTGATTCCTGGAGAGAGTGGAGAGTGGAAAGGATGGGGAGGGGAAGAGAGAGAGAGAGAGAGAGAGAGAGAGAGAGAGAGAGAGAGAGAGAGAGAGAGAGAGAGAGAGAGAGGGAGAGAGGTGCACAGTAACATGAGAGGTGCACAGTAACATGAGAGACACATTGATTGGCTGCCTCCTATACTCATGCTTCTGGGGATAGAACCCACAATCTGGGCATAACTTGTCTTTTGGTAGGAGAATTTAGACAATTCACATTTAATGTAATTACTATTATGTTTGTTGCAATGCCTTGGCATGCCTGGTGATTTCTGATGGAGTTTGTATTAAAAAATTCCAATTTCTGCCTCTTCAGTCCAGTGCTACTCAAGAAGCCCTGCTTCTGCTTTCCGTTTGACCTCTATTTCCCGGCATGCTACTGACAAATCCCTCAAAAGAAAAGTTGGTAGTGAACACGGGACTCATCCTAATGAGTTTTCCTTCTCTCAGGTCTAGGCCCCACGAGGACCTGATGCCTTAATTGCTCTGGATCCATTCAAATAGCTCTCTTTTGTGTGACTGTGTTCTCTCCAGGAGGATTAGTCTGAACCAAGTTATTCTATCAAAGTCCTTCTCAGGATGCCCAGGCCATTAATTCATTTGCTATCCCCTTACTGGGAGGCTGTTTTATCTCTTACACGTCCAGTACCTCAGGCCTAGAAAGTAACGTAAGTGCTCTCTTTAGTCTCTGTTGGGGAATCAAGCCTGCAACCGGGGCATGAGCCCTTGATTGGAATAGAACCAGGGGATCTTCAGTCCGAAGAGTTTGGCTCAGTGGATAGAAGGCCGACGACGCTCTATCCACTGAGCCAAACCAGCCAGAGCTAACTTCATTTTTTTAGCAAAGAAAAATTTCTCTCCTTTATCCTACCTCATTGCCCCTCCTCTCAGTGTCTCTACTTCTATGAAGCCTCTCCATGTTAAAAAGACCTTGGGGTTGGTCGCGGGCCCTAATCTAGAGCCATGTGCGCTCCCAAGAGGATCTTATTCAGCTCTGTGGCTAGAAACGCTATCTCCAATCTGACGATTCCCCAAAATCACGTCTGTCGGCTTGAGCCTTCTTTGAGCTTTAGACTCAGAGGAGAGGTCAGACCTGAATTCATCTCTCCACTGCATCTTTAAGAAGCACACAACAGAATTTACTTGCTCAAAACAAAGCTCCTTATTTCCCCCAAATGCCAAGCCCATTAATCCTATTATCTCTCTGTCTCAGTAAATGATAGCAACTTCTAATCAGCTGCTCAGACTTAAACCCTGGAAATAATTTTGATTTCTATCCTTTTTTTTTTTAACCCCATCCACACAGGCAATACATTATCAGCGTCTGCCAGTTCTATTTTTTTTTTTTAATATACTTTATTGATTTTTTACATAGAGGAAGGGAGATGGATAGAGAGTTAGAAACCTCAATGAGAGAGAAACATCGATCAGTTGCCTCCTGCACACCCTGCACTGGGGATGTGACCACAACCAAGGTACGTGCCCTTGACCGGAATCGAACCTGGGACCCTTCAGTCCGCAGGCTGACACTCTATCCACTGAGCCAAACTGGTTAGATGACAGTTCTATTTCCAAAATATATTTTATTTGTGATGTGTTGTTGTTGTTGTTGTTTTTAAAAATCCTTGCCCGAGGATATTTTTTCATTGGTTTTAGAGAGAGTGGAAGAGAGAGGGAAAGACAGAGAGAAACATCTATGTGAGAGAAACACATCAAGAAACACATTAGTTGTCTCTTGCATGTGCCCTGACCAGGGCCCAGGCTGGAGAGAAGACTGCAACTGAAGTATGTGCTCTTGCTTGGAATCAAACTCGGGACCCGTCAGTCCACAGACCGATGTTCTATCCACTGAGCTAAACCGGCTTGGGCTAAAATATATTTTAAATGTTTATTTATTTTTCTACCTTAACATCGCTTGCCTGGTGGGTAATTCAACAGCCCACTACCTGGTTTCCCTGCCTCAATTCCCCTCCGATCCATGCTCCACACAACAACCAAATATTTTAAAAATCCAAATCAGATCAACTTATTTCCACCAGTGCCTCATCAATTGTAAGAACACAATAAATATTTGTTAAAAGAAAGAAAGAATGAATTAGATGGATTACTGAGAGAGCAACTGGCACAGGGTTTGGAGCTAGAATTGAAATCCGAGTCTCTTATTTCATCACGAAATACATCTTCATCGAGGACTCAGGCAGGGTGTCAGCCCTTACTCTTCAGCATATTCGGCTGAGAACAAACAACCACACTCTGACAGATTTCAATCCAGATCTTATTAAATAGCTACATTTTATGCACAGTGACACCACAATCAAACTCCTTACAATTTTCTTCATTTAATTTCTTTGGTTTCATTTAATTTAGAAGGCAATGGAGCTAAGCTGAAGGGGATGGATGTTTTTGCAATTTTCTAAGTCCTCTGCGAAATGTGTAATTTACAAAGATCCAATAATATCGATCAAAATCGTAGGCACCAGGCCTCCTGCCAAGCATGAGCACGGCAGACAGCTTTTATTACCGGCGAACCATGGGGCCTCAGGCACATGCTTTCATCTTCCTCCGTCTCAGCTGATCTGGAAAATGGAAAGAATAACAGCATCTATCGCTTAGGGATGTCGGAAGGTTAAAAGAGAATGCAGACTAAGTGCACAGAACAACACCCGATGATGAGTTACGACTATTATGAAGTGCAATTGCATTGCAAATGTACCTAAAGTAGCGTTATTTTTTTTGTGTGGCGAATGGTTGGATAAAGAGACTTTTAGTAAATCCTATATTACCCCTAATCAGTAGGTTTTCTGTCAAATTGGCAGCTGAATATACACTGAGTGGCCAGATCATGATGATCTCTGAACGCATAATCATCTGGCCACTCAGTGTCTATCCTATATAATAAAAGGCTAATATGCAAATTGTCCCCTGGGTCAGGAGTTGGACCAGCAGGTAGGCCAGCCAAATGCCCACGTCCCCTCCCCTTGGCCAGGCTGGCTGGACCCCATCCCTGCATGAATTCATGCACCAGGCCTCTAATATATATATATATATATATATATATATATATATATATATATATATATATATATATATATATATATATATGGGTGGCCAGATTATTATGCGTTGAGATCATCATAATCTGGCCACTCAGTGTATATCCTATCCTTGGTGGGTACAGACAGGTTTTTATTCCTGGGGCACCTGTGCCTCACACCCCCTCTCCCCCCCCCTCCCCCTTCAGCCTCTAACAAAAAATG